CGCGCCCCAGCCGGGGCTGGGGGTTTCCCTCCCTTTCTGCAATTGGCTCTTGCGGGCTGGAGCTGTGCCAGCCTGCAAGAGCTCTTTGCAGAAGCGGAGAATCCACGGATTTCTCTGCTAAAAAGAGAAATTCGCATTTTCTCTGATAAAAACAGGGAATCTGTGGTTTTCTCCGTTTTTCCGTGGGAAACTGAAAACCCGGATTCCTGGTTATGACAGACTATCCTTCCCTGGAACCTATACAGAAAATCCCTAAACAGTTTCAACCTATGCTAGAAAAAAAGACCGTATTTTTAAAGAGATCTTTCCAGAACCACCCATCCTAGCCTTTAAATAAGCACCGAACCTCACTAACCTTATCACCAGAAGCAAACTTCCAATGACACAAATCACACCGGATGTAAAACCCGCTAACGCATCTCCACCAGTCCCACAATATCTACACCCCACAACAGAACCATCACCATTCCTGGGTCTTACCTGCACCTCCAGAAATGTAATAGATCTCATCCAGTGCACCAAGTGCCCTGATGGAAAATATGTAGGAGAAACCAAGTGAGAACTGAGTACCAAAATGAACGCACAGCGAAAATCCATCAAAGACAAAATTGGGGAGAAGTTGCTGCTTGCCTTTTAGTCCCTGGAGTCACCCTGGTCCAGCAGAGGTGCATAGGGCTGCTGCTCCTGCCCCTCACATAGGTCAGGAGGGGATGGGAGGAGCAGCAGCTCCTTGATCTTCAGTCATTCCTCAGACTGGGTTACCTGGTATAAGGAGCAGGCAGGGGGCTTTGTTCTACTGCTCCAGTCCCCCTGGGAATTAGGAGGACTGCTCCCAAACCTTTTCCCATCACCCAGTCCCAAGAAGGCACAAGGAGCAGGGCAGAGGGTGTGGTTGCAGGCTGAACACCTATATGGCTCTCTTTCCTGGAAACATTTCTGGTGGTGGAAAATTTCCATACCTAGAAATGAACACCTGTTCATGGTCACTGTTTGCAGTTTCCTCTGACTTTTCCTACATGCCCCCATGCAAAGCTCCTTCTGTCTTACTTCTCAGGGATCTTAATTTGCATCTCTGTGTAGAATGCAGATTGGAGGATCTAGCCCAGAAGAGCCTCACTTGAGAGCAGCAGTGCCATATCCAGGCTTTTAGTATGGTAGTGGGATATGAAAACGGAATGAAAGGGGCAACTGTATCGCAAGACTTTCAGTGCCTGGTGTTTTTCTTGAAACTGAACTTCTGGATTCATAGTTTCATAGTCATTAGGGCTGGAAGGGACCTCGGAAGATCATTGAGTCCAGCCCCCTGCCCGAAGGGCAGGAAGTCAGCTGGGGTCATAGGATCCCAGCAAGATAAGCATCCAATTTACTCTTGAAGGTGTTCAACGTAGGTGCTTGAACCACCTCCGATGGCAGGCTGTTCCAGATCTTGGGAGCCCGGACAGTAAAGAAATTCTTCCTTATGTCCAACCTGAAACGGTCTTGCTGGAGTTTATAACTGTTCGACCTTGTCATCCCTTGGGGCGTTCTGGTGAACAAACGTTCCCCCAGATACTGGTGGTCACCCCTGATAAGCTTATAGGTGGCCATCAGATCACCCCTGAGCCTGCACTTTTCCAGGCTAAAGAGCCCCGTAGCTCTCAGCCTGTCGTTGTAAGGTCTGTTTTCCTGACCTTTGATCATGCGTGTGGCTCTTCTCTAGACTCTCAAGCTTCTCCACGTCCTTTTTGAATCGTGGAGCCCAAAACTGGACGCAGTACTCCAGCTGTGGCCTCACCAAGGCTGAGTACAAGGGGAGAATGACGTCCCAGGATTTGCTTGAGAAGCATCTATGGATGCAAGCCAGTGTTTCGGTCACTTTACTAGCCGCAGCATCACATTGCGGGCTCATGTTCATCTTGTGGTCAATGATGACCCCCAAGTCTCTTTCTTCTGTAGTGCTAGCCAGAGTAGCACTGCTGAGCCTATAAGGATGCTGCAGGTTTTTCCTCCCAAGGTGGAGAACATTGCATTTTTTAGTGTTAAGCACCATCAGGTTCTTGTCCGCCCATTTGCTGAGCTTGTCCAGGTCAGCCTGGATTGCCCTCCTATCTTCAGGTGTGGATGCTTTGCCCCAAAGTTTGGTGTCATCAGCAAACTTGGCCAGTCTGCTTCTGACTCCAGTGTCCACATCATTAATGAAGATGTTGAACAGTATGGGTCCAAGGACAGAGCCTTGGGGGACCCCACTGGTCACAGGTCACCATGACGATTGTCTTCCGTTAATTACCACCCCCTGGGTCCGACCACGGAGCCAATTTCCCATCCAGCAGATCGTGGTGGACCCAAGGCTACAATTGGCCAGTTTCGCCAAGAGGTGATCATGGGATACCAGATCGAAGGCTTTTTTGAAGTCTCTTGATTTGTGTCAGAAGCTTAATTGTGCCTTAAAAAAATGTATAGCCATCATAGTTTTAGGGAAAATCTTGAAAACATCAACATTAAAGATAAATTAGAACACAGCATTCATTATATTTTTAGTCTCTTCTAACTTGAAGAGCTTACTCATGCCATCTGACCACTTGGCTTAGGTAGTATACCTAGCCCATAGACAAAACAACTGCTTGATGGACCATCTCCTGTTGCTTCATTCTGTGGGTGCGTCTACATGTTCATTAATGTACTTTAGGTAATACGCATTAAATCTTGTATCTCCATTGTGAGGTACTAGAAAAATGTGCATTAACCTATTTTAATGTGCATTAGTTAAAACACATTTTTTGTGATGCTTTAATGTGCATTAAAATAGGCTAATGCTCATTAAAGTGCATGTCTAGACATGCCTTATAAGAAGTAGGAGACATGGGAGCAGAGTATAAGATTGGGCAGGGATGGGACAGAATAATCTAGGGCCAGGATGGAGGAGTGAAGGAGTTGGATACAAGGTAAAGGCCCTGGAAGCATAGTAAAATAGCTTGAAAACAGTGCCTCAGGAAGAGGCAGAGAAGTGTGTTCATGTGGGAGCAGAATGTGTACCTCTTGGTAGTATCAGGGGGAATGTTTAAAAGAGAGTGCCCTAGGAGGTGCCTGCTGGGTGGAGATAGTGATGGAGGAAAGTCATCCTCCTGCTGAGGAAAGAGGGACATAGGAGGAATCTATGATTCCTTGTAGTTTCTTACATTTTAAGTTTTCAACTTGGAAAATGTAGGCAGACATAGGGAATTGGATAGGGAAGGAAGCAACCCACAATGGTCATGGGCTGCAAATCATGAAAGTGTGTGAGGTTTTTTTCTGTTTGTTTTGTTTTTATTTTTGCTTTAATTTATAATTCATCTCCTGATGTGTTTGGTGGTCTCTTCCTTGATTTTTTTTTTTAACTTTGTGGTGTTAGCATTTTGAGGGAGTTAGCATTTGAGTTGATGGTGAATGCTTGAGTCCAAGTGCAGGTGTTTCATTTGCCTTTTAAAGGTTTATAATATAATAGTTATTACAAATGTTTTATGATGGTGTTTGTGAACTGTTTTTTCCTGTCCCCATCGCAAAATTTACATTTTGGATTTAACTACTTGCTTTTCCCTTTTGAAATGGGACAGGCAAGCCATTTGGTTCTCAAAAAGGGTTAACTGCCAACATCTGGATACTAGAAACTACCAACATTTGGATACTAGAAACTAAAGCAGGCTATGCCAGTGTTGATACCATGATCAAGCTCAGTCTAATTTAATCATTTTTAGTTGGCTCTGGTGCCTGTGCTCATACTTTCATGTTACTGACTCCCTAATGGTCAGCTTACTTTTTCGTTTTTCCTAGTCAGCAAAGTAAAACCAAACTGAACCAAAACAACAACAACAAAACGCACGACAAACTGCTTTATGGTGTAGCAAAGGAAAGAATATCAAAAGTTTGCTTAATGTTGCATTCTCTTTACCAACTTAACTGACTGACAATACTTCTTTCATATACAAAGTAGATATTTTAAATTATACAAATAATTACGGAAGCAATTTTTTGTGATATCTTTTATTGGACCAACTGCATTGTTGGGAAAGATGCTGGACAACATTTTAGGGACAAAGTGCCCTTATCCAGATCTGAGTAGAGATAGAGGTCTCTTCAGGTAGGACCTTTCATGGTAGAGGTCCCAGGCCCAAAGAAGGCTACTTTGTCATTGAAATGTTGTCCAACATCTTTTCTTACTGTACAGCTTGTCCAATGAAAGATGTATTGAAAGCAACTTTTTTCTCATACATTTCCTTGTCCATCTTCGCTACAACACACTATCTGTGTGTCATATACATGTAGTAGAACATACATCTGTGAACTTTTTGTAGAAAAAGATTTTCCTTAACAGAGAGCACTGCCAAAGAGTATTTCATAATTTCTGAAATATTTTCAAAACTTTTCCTGACCTGAATGTTGAACCTTTTCTGAAACCATGTTCTTTCCCATGATCTCATATTTGTTCTGAGGGCCCATCTTCTAGAATTACTGTTTTTATATACTACTATATTGTAAAACACAAATGTTGGTTTTCTGGATTTACTCAGGTACAGAAAACAAAGACTGATATGTCATATTTTAAGCCACTCATTACCACAGACCTTAACACTTTCATTTTTTTTTGTAAGGATATTAGGTTTTTACAATAATTAAATACAGATTCCTGGATCCTAGGACTTCCTGATCCAGTAGCCACTTGGTATACAGGCTTGATTGTGTGTACAAGTGATATGTGCCAGTGACTTTAAGGGGACTGCTCTCATACGTTTATTTGATTACGTTTGTTGATATTTGCAGTATCAGGACTGTGATGACTTGAAGTACTTTTAGAAAAAGTTACAGTAATTTTTTTTCTAAAGTTTGCTTCTTGCTCATTAACAATTTTTGAAAATGCTTTTTTTTTCATCAATGGCTTGAGATCGCCATCTGTGGATCATGATTTTAATTGCAGCTTTTTTATTTGGGTGTTCTTGTTTTAGTCAAATTTAGGTGTATTTTATGATGATGATATGAAAAATAGTAATGCTTAGTTCTTATGTAGTGCTTTCCATTACTAGATTTCCCATGTTCTTATAGGGGTAGGTTGATTTCATTTTATCCATTTTACACATAGGTATCAATCTTTTACTGTAAAGATAGAAAAAGATACTTTCTAATTTATCATCTACAAATATTTCAAGGGCGTAAATGAAAAATGTAGAAAACATTATTTCTTATGTTTGTTGGCAAAAAAGTAAAACTGGAGATGAAACTGAGAGGGAAGAAAGGTAGGCTAAATATCTAGAAAGATATCTGAACAGTGGATCCTTTCGAACAGTGGGATCGGGTTGGGCGGGATGTGGTTTAGGTTCCCTCTCTTGAGTTACTTAAACTTTGACTGATAAACTAAAACCAGAAAATATGCTGTAGGGAGAACCTTGCATTGAACAGTAAAGGACTAGGGCCTTGATCCTGTGAACATTTGTGCGACTAACTTGATAAGTGTGTGCAGTAGACGGCTTGTGTACATATTTGGAGAGGTATAAATGAAAACTTCTATCTATAACTTTAATTCAGTGAATGTAGTATTAAGACTCATAAGCCAGGAGACTAGTTCGTGACATACATATCATGCTTGTCATTTTAAGGAATGAAATCTGATATTTTATAAAATAATAGAAACAACTGCAAATCTGTAAACTGAAAATTAGCTGCGGGACAAATATATTTACATTGTATTTATGATTAGACAAAATGAGTTAAAAATTAACTTGTAGTTTGCCCTACAGATCCTTCTCTTTGTACAGTTTAATTATATACTTCAAAGTAATTCACTGAAATTATGAATAATTGTGACATTAATATTTTGGCTTTAGTGCTGTTTGTAGAATGGGCAAGGATTGTAAAAGAAACTTCTTTCACAGAGACAAAGACACCTGTGTTAATGCTGAAGAACTGTCTGCCTGTCTTCTGATAAATCTAGGTAAGAGGTTTTTTGGTTTTTGGATATATATTTTTTTGTAATAAGGTTGCAGGCTTTGGAGAGTAGAATACTGGATTCTTACTCACTGCTGATCAGATGTTTAATGTCAAAATTACTTTTTCCTTCCAAATACATTGTCTTAGGAGAGTTATATACTTCCTACATTTTTAGTAGCATTCATTTGGAACTAAACTGTCTCTTTGTCCTATTAATATCTTATACTATGCTTGCATGAATCAGAGTTTCAAGTCCATCATATCTCATTTGATTTTGAAGTATCTAGCAGTCTTTCTTGTTCTTCTGGAATATTGTCTAATGCTCTCTATAATTGCAGTTATCCATTTATTTGTCATGGGGAGTTGGGGAATCAGTTTTTTTTTTCATGTACATAATAGTGCTCAATGTATCAGTAGCTACATTTAATTTGACACCCTTATACTCTTTCCATGCTGATTATGTGAACAAAGCTGGTGCTCTGTGTTTGATACTTAGCCATGAGGGAACTTGAGAGGATAGAATGTTTTACACAGCTGCTCTCCCATCTACTCAACTATTTAATTCCTATCTATGGAAAGATAGGAATTAGGGATAGGAAAGATCCCGTGCCCTCCATTAATGCTGACTTTCTGAAGGAACATCTTGAGAAGCTGGATACCTTCAAGTCAGCCGGCCCTGACAATCTTCACCCCAGGGTACTCAAGGAGCTGGCGAGCATCATAGCCCAGCCTCTAGCACGGATCTTTGAAAACTCTTGGTGCTCTGGTGTAGTGCCCGAAGACTGGAAGAAGGCCAATGTGGTGCCTATCTTCAAGAAAGGGAGGAAAGTGGATCCGGCTAACTATAGGCCCATCAGCCTGACTTCTATCCCGGGGAAGATCTTAGAAAAGTTTATTAAAGAGGCCATCCTTAATGGACTGGCTGACGTCAACATCTTAAGGGATAGCCAGCACGGGTTTGTTGCGGGTAGGTCTTGCTTGACCAATCTCATTTCCTTCTACGACCAGGTGACTTATCACCTGGACAAGGGAGAAGAGCTTGATGTCATATATCTTGACTTCAAAAAAGCCTTCGATCTGGTGTCCCATGATCGCCTCTTGGAGAAACTGGCCAATTGTCGCCTTGGGTCCTCCACGATCCACTGGCTGGAAAATTGGCTCCGAGGTAGGACCCAGAGGGTAGTAATTGATGGAAGTCACTCATCGTGGTGTCCTGTGACCAGTGGGGTCCCCCAAGGCTCTGTCCTTGGACCCATACTGTTCAACATCTTCATTAATGATGTGGACACTGGAGTCAGAAGCGGACTGGCCAAGTTCGCCGATGACACCAAACTTTGGGGCAAAGCATCCACACCAGAAGACAGGCAGGTTATCCAGGCTGACCTGGACAGGCTCAGCAAGTGGGCGGACGAGAATCTGATGGTGTTCAACGCCGATAAATGCAAGGTTCTCCACCTTGGGAAAAAAAACCCGCAGCATCCTTATAGGCTCGGCAGTGCTATGTTGGCTAGCACTATGGAAGAAAGAGACTTGGGGGTCATCATTGACCACAAGATGAACATGAGCCTGCAATGCGATGCGGCGGCTAGTAAAGCGACCAAAACGCTGGCTTGCATCCATAGATGCTTCTCAAGCAAATCCCGGGGCGTCATTCTCCCCCTGTTCGGCCTTAGTGAGGCCGCAGCTGGAGTACTGCGTCCAGTTTTGGGCTCCACAATTCAAAAAGGATGTGGAGAAGCTTGAGAGAGTCCAGAGAAGAGCCACGCGCATGATCAGAGGTCAGGGAAGCAGACCCTACGATGACAGGCTGAGAGCCCTGGGGCTCTTTAGCCTGAAAAAGCGCAGGCTCAGGGGTGATCTGATGGCCACCTACAAGTTTATCAGGGGTGACCACCAGCATCTGGGGGAACGTTTGTTCACCAGAGCGCCCCAAGGGATGACGAGGTCGAATGGTCACAAACTACTTCAAGATCGTTTCAGGCTGGACATAAGGAAGAATTTCTTTACTGTCCGAGCCCCCAAGGTCTGGAACAGCCTGCCACCGGAGGTGGTTCAAGCGCCTTCATTGAACACCTTCAAGGTGAAACTGGATGCTTATCTTGCTGGGATCCTATGACCCCAGCTGACTTCCTGCCCTTTGGGCGGGGGGCTGGACTCGATGATCTTCCGAGGTCCCTTCCAGCCCTGGTGTCTATGAAATCTATGAAAAAAGGCCTGGATTTACTTGACTAGTAGATTACAAGTAGTAGTACAAGGCCCAGAAGTTTAAAAATTATGAATCGGTTCCAACAATGTCAAGATGACAAAAAATAATGGCTTTGGGGAAACTTTTATTTGTTTTCTTGGTTTTGAGCCTTTACTGTGTGTTTGGGTCATATTTCCAAGCTTATCTCCTTCAACTGTGAAGGCAAACATTTAATTTTTTTACAGATCCAAGCTAAGATTTTCTCATAATCGCATCACTCCAGAAGCTGTGGCTTTGAATAAAGTACAAAGTACTGTGAGGTTGTGAGCAGCACTGATGAATGGAGAATTTTTGTTTCTACAGTGCCAGTTCCTTAATCTGTAATCTTTTAAAGTTACAGAGAGCATATAAAACAAAAAAAATGCACTAATGACCAGTGATTTAGAATGTTTATCCACTTACAGCCTGACTAGATTGGAAGTGATTGTTTTAAATGAGAAAACTCTGTTCTCTGTCTTCCTTTCTTTTTGTCAAGTGACCTTTCCCTGGGACAAGTTAATTTGTGCCACCTGCGGTGCAGGTGTATGGTTTGAAAATTGCTGTGGGAAACTTAGGTTAATAGACTTTTGTTTTTCTTTAAAATTTTATCTTGTTACAGATGGGAAGATAGTATTGCCAGGCAACCTTTTGCTCCTCACTTTCTATGGTAGACCTTTCAGCCTCGTGGTGATGAAGGTGAAAGGAACAGATGGGGTCCTGTTGGAAATGCAGGGCAGTAATGCTTTCAACAAAGCACAAGAGACAACCCTTGAGAAGTCTGACTTGGAAACCAGTGAACTAAATTTATCCTTACAGCTCAGCAACTTGGACATAGAAGACAAGCTAGAAGATGCACTTACCAGTACGCCATGCAGATCAACGGATCAGTGTTCATCAGCTGCATCCAGTGATACTATAATAGGGGCTGAGCAGGTTTGTGCTCAGGTCGATGAGCTATATGATGAGCAGAATGTCAGAAGCCTCACTGATGGTTCTGAATCAGCTGGAGAAGTCCATGAGAGAACGCTGCTGCATGGCAAAAAAGGAGCAAAATGCAATTCTGATACATTTTACTTCATTTCTTCAAGAACAAAGGTCAATTTTATTGAGACTCGGCCCACTGTGACAGAACAGGATTGTAAATCCAGAGTTACCTATGATATGATAGGTGGTTTAAGCAGCCAGTTAAAAACTATTCGAGAGACAATAGAATTGCCTTTGAAGCAAGCTAAACTGTTCAAGAGTTATGGTATGATGTTTAAGTATTGGTATACTCTACTTAATACAGTGTTTTTTCTTTAATTGAGCACTCCAATCATTATGTGCTGCTATTAATTTATATTTCGCAGTGTGTGAGAAAATTTATATTTCTCAGGGTATCTTCACACAATAGAAAAATTAATGCACTTATTTATTGTGGCAACTTCGATGAAAAGTATACTACTTGGGACGTGCTATAATAAGGCTGGACAGCATGTGATTTTTTAAAAATATAATTTATATCATTATATAAAAAATTATATAAAAATCACATGCTGTCCAGCCTTATTATCGAATTTCCCAAGTAGTCACCTCACCTTTTATATACGTGTGCATGCACGCACGCGCGCGCGCAGACACACACACACACACACACACACACGTTCTCTCTCTCTCTCTCTCTCTCTCTCTCTCTCTCTGACTGTGTATGTGTTCAGGTATGTATAGCAGATATAGATATTATTTATTAAGGGGCATTGCTTCCCAAGGTTTGGATCCTCTATTTTATCTCTACAAGGCTTGCTCAGATGTGTTATTCGTTTCACCTTCTTCTAGTGTAAGGATGCAGTGACAGAGTAACTACCTTTTGTCTGAGGAAGATTTGAAGCATCGCTTTCCATCACACACAATTTTTTTCATTCAAACACTTTTTAAAATGGCGCTTAACAGAAATCCAAGTCTTCTCTCCTCTGCCTATCTCCTGAAAAATGCTACTTCTGCTGCTCCCTCATCCATACTGCTTTGGTCTTGACTGAGTCTTGAATTCTGATCCCTGCTTAACTTTGAATTAATGTTACTGCTCTCCTGTCATAACAGCCATTTTTTTTTTACTCTTCGTTAGTTTCATACAGAAGCGCAGTGACATCTTGTGAACTTCTGTGGCTTTGGAGAGTTGTGAATAAGAACATTTGATTTATGTCTAAATCTGTCTTTGTGTTGGGGCTTCTTAAATTAGTACTAGTGTGGGATTTTTTCCCCTCTTAGGTGTAAACATTGGATTTGTCCTGTCTTGGATATAAAGAAAATTGGGTTACCCTGTTTCACTTCTACCAGGCTTTCTTTATTGAGTAATTTAATATTGTTCCCCTAAATATATGAACAGGGAACAAAATACTGGCCTGCAGTTCTTAAATTCTGTCAAATATGGATTTAATATTTCTAAGATGTGAGAATCCATATCATTCGGAGCTGAATTAATTAAAAATGAAACAAATCACTAAATATTAAATTGTCACCTTGGTTATTATTATCTGCAGATACTTTTAGGAAAGAGCATATTCCATTCCACAGTTTCTTTCTGTGTACAGAAAAGTAGCCATAAGTTTAAATTGGTTATTATTTTCTCATAGATGAAATCACATTGCTTGGGATATTATAAAACAAGCTTAGATAAAGTTCTGAAGAATATGTCATAGGAAATTAATCCTTTATTTTCATCCATAATTTCTTATAAGAAAGCTAAAATTTTGAGGGAAGTTTTCTAGAGCAGGAATGTAGGGAGATGAAAATGTGGCATGATTGCTACTTTTACAAGTTTTGGAGTAAACCCCATCAGTTACTTTGACCCCTGAAACAGTTCTGGCCAAGAGATTGCGCTCAGTTGAGAAGAGCCTATAAAGGTGTCAAAAATATCCAGGTCTCACCCTTGGAGGGACCACACTTATAGCAGCAGTAAGAGGCTTCCTTGCCTTCCTGTAGCATTGCCCAAAGAAATCTGACTTCCAAACCCATGAATCAGCTGAGAGTGTGTGGATATAAGGTAGAGGTTAGAGTTGTTTATTGTAGAGGCCTTCTGTATAGTTTATCTGACTTGCCTCTTTACGTGGTCTTCTTTTATGGGGAGGGGGATCTCATGGATCACATAGGTAATCTGTATAAGACTGTGATGAATATGTCAGTTTATACTGTGTAGGGGTTCTCGGTGGGTTTCCAAGGCATGGTATTGTGGACGCTCATATTCTGTTTTACCAGTTCCTGACCTTCAGGCCTCCCACAGTTTTAAGATACACCAGCTGTTTTCCTTTGGTCAGGGATGAGGTGCAAAACCAGCCCTATGCCCCTTTATCACTCCACAAATGGATTTGCCTGATTGTGGATATTTACACTGGTAATTAACCTTGAATAGGTGGCTATCTGCATAGGAATTGCTATAGGAGATCAAACCAGACCATTGGTAAATATGCTCCAGTACCCTGGTCAGCAACAGATGCATTACAGAAATATGCAATAAATCCAGTAGGCTGTGTGATGCTTCAGTTGCTGATTCGATTCGGAGGAGATTTCACGGTCAAATCTCCAAATCGAATTGGGAAACCAATGAAAAGGTCTGAATCGGTTTGAAGCCTCTGAATCGATTCGGAGATTTGGGCAGTCCCCACTTGCCACTGCAGGGAGCTGGACCTGGGCTCCGTGCTGGTATGTGGAGAAGTGGAGGGGCTGGAGGAGGGGGGAGAGGACCATGGGGGGACCCCCACCAGGCCCCATCCCCTGCCTGCTCTCCCAGCCCCCCTGAGCGCCCCCTGACCCCTGCCCTCTCTACTAGCCACGTCAGTGGTTGCCCCGTCCAGCCCCAGAGTCCTGGAACTTAAAAAAGCCCCACACTCACTGGCTGTTGCAGTGGCTTTTGGGGCCTATGGGGGCTCGTGGCAGAGCCCCCCACGCAGCGGGGGGCAGTGAGGATTGCCCCCCTGCCTGGCAGGAGCCAGTGAGTGCAGGGCTTTTTTTTTTTTTTTTTTTTTTTTTTTAAGTGCCAGGATGCTGGGGCTGGGCAGGGCAACCTTTTACAGGACTGGGAGAGCTGGCAAGGGATGGGGCCTGTTTGATTTGGAGATCTGGCCAATTCTACAATGGCTGAATCTCCGAATCGGATTTGGCCAAATTGATTCGGGACAGTGATTTGAATCACCACATTAAATCACTGTCCCTTGAACCATCTGAATCCGAAGTGAATACTAGCCACTTCCCACATGGAGAGTTATGGACTAACCTGCTTATAGAGTAACTTTCTCCACAACTCCTGTCAGTTAGTCGATAGCGTTTGGCCTTTCTGCTACCAAATTCCTAAAACTTGGGCTTTGTAGCCACAAGATCTGCTGTTCTCAGACTTTTCTTGTTAAATGTTACCCCTCCTCTTCTATGTCTTAATCTGTTCTTCCTGTATAGTTTATAGCCAGTTATTACAACAGATCATTGGTATTTTCATTCATATGCTTTGCAGCTTCTTTAAAGGTGTTTGGTACAGGGAGCTCCTGAGCTAGTACAGATATAGGCTTCTATTAAAGTGGTTTGATTGTTTATGAAGTTGATTTTAAGGTTAAGTTTATATTATAAAATAAACGTAGGGTAGGGCAATACAATGTGGAGATATTCTGCCTTGAGCATAAGTGACTTTCTCTTCCCTCTGTGTTGTGTGTGTGCTGTTTGTTTTTAAAGGAATTCCTCCTCCTAGAGGAGTACTATTGTATGGCCCTCCAGGTACTGGGAAGACCATGATTGCCAGAGCCGTTGCAAATGAAGTTGGAGCTCATGTTTCCATTATTAATGGTCCTGAAATATTAAGCAAGTAAGTCAGCCCAATTTATTTATGTTAGTGACTTGCAGGTAGTGAGCCAAATTACACACTGACACATATGTATTGTGCAATGCCAGTGTTTATATTTGTATGATTGTGTCCAATGTGTATGCCTGAGTCTCAGAAATTTGCAGGGAAGGGTTCTTTTTGTAGGTATTATACTGCTCATAATCTGAAAATGAAAATCCAAGTTTGTTGCCTCCAAGAGGTTTCTAATGGTCAATAGAGTGAAATTCTTAGAATGACTTTCTGAACAAGGCAGTACAGACAAGGAACCTAAACTTTTTCAAAATGTAACTTGATAAGTTCATAGAAGGGATATATAGGGTGAAAATAGATGTAACATTTGAGGTATTTAAAGGTGCAGCTGTTCATGAAGCACTTCAAAAATGAAGTGTTTCAGTAGTGGATAAGCATAGTGTTCTCTTGCTGGAACACCTTGGAATTAGTGTGGTGTGCCTTCCAGCTAGGGGGTATGATGAAGGGGGAAGAGCACACAGTGTGCTACACCTCAGTGTAGTCTAGCAGCTCCTAATCTCCAAGCAAAGCCAATGACAATAAGGCCAGGTACAGACATTGTACTTTTACCAGTATAAGTGATCAGAAACTGGTCTATACTCATAACAGAACATATGTTTGGCACACACAGATTGGTTTAAAAATGGTAAAACCTGGTCTAAGATTTGCACACCCCCCACCAAAGGGTGAACTTGTGTTCTGTTCACTACTGATTTAAATTACAGCGCTTACAGAAAGCTGCATAATTTAGATAGATTATGTCTCAGCTTTTTGAATGTCTGTACCTAGTCTAAGTGTTCTCCTGTCTGTCCCGCCTCTGCTGTCCCAGAGTGTGCCCCTGCCCGAATTGGGAAACCAGAAAGGTACAAAGGAATTTTGGGGCTAGAGAGCCAGCATCTTGGTTCTGGTGAGCATCACCGGATCTTTCAGTTCCAGTGGAGGGGGGTGAGAGTGCAGGGTCTCTTGTCTCCCAGTTTTGGTTCCAACCTAGGGTGGGAGGGCAAGTTGCTTTGTGTGAGTGGAGGTCTAATGTACAGGACGGCGCTCACTGGCACAATATTCTGGTCCCTCCACCTTCCCCTCTCTCCCACTATTACAGTGGGGCCAGGAGAAAGGGGAGTACAGTGTGATACCAGGGTACTCGGGGGTCATCTCCTATGTTCTGTAGAGCATGAAGGGCCCTGCATCTCACTTCATTTTGAAGTGCTTCAAAATGGTACCTGTTCGTTTGGGGTTAGTTTTGGAGTGCATCTGCCATTTTTGGGGCACTTCAAAGACTATGTACATCTGTTGGCTTGCAGTCTAAAGTGCTTCAAATGTTACATCTGTCCTCTTCCATAGAAGAATCTCATCTAAAAAGTTTATTGTGGAATTCAAATTTATATAATAGCATTTGTGGCATTCATACATTCTCTGAGGATTTCTGAATGGATAAAAACTGATTTGTAGAAGTAAAAGGTGAAGAGTGTTTTATTGAAATAACAATAAAATCCTCTTACTAAATTATTTTGGTTGTTGCAGGTTTTATGGTGAGACTGAAGCAAGATTGCGACAGATATTTGCTGAAGCTTCTCAGTGGTATGCATCTTTATGCATATTCATTTAGGACAGTATTTCAGTCTTAATGTGTAAAGAAAAGTTTATGAAGGCTCTCTGACTTGCAATATTTTCTTGTGGAAGTATTTTAAAATGGAGGTATTTTTCTTTTCTCCACAGTGACCCAAAGGCAGGTAGTAAAATTCTAGTCTTCAGATGAAATGCCTTAGCACACTTATATAAAGCAGTATCATTTAAAGAGCTACTGCATATTACCAGGGACCTACTGAAATCTCAATTGCATATTTTTTGTGGAAATCAGGATTTTGGGTGAGCTCCGTGAAAAAGTGTGTGACTGCACTTTTGGCAGGCTTGCTGGAAAAAATAAATAATCAAACAAACTTACTATCAAGCAGAGAAAAGCATGTGAGAAGCCCTGCAGTCTTGGAGCTTGGAGGGAAGGTGGAGGGGGAAGGCGGGGGGCAAGGGGGAGAGGAGGAAGGGAAGACGAAGGGGTGGGGGGGTTCACAGGAGCCTGCTGTTACCAGCCCTGCCCCCTCCCACGCCTTTCCGTGTGCTCCAAGACTGCAGACTTCCCACATGCTCTTCTCTGCTTGCCGGTAAGTTTAGTTATGTATTTATTTATTTGCAGTGAGCCCTTGGGGATAGCCTGAAACTGCAGCTTAATTACCTTGATTAAGCTCGGAGGAACCATTAGTTTTTTAATAACTTGTAGACTAATGGCTTCCCTAGGCTTAACCAAGGGAATTAAGCCGCAGTTTCAGGCCATGTGGCATCTGCAGGGAGGGGGTGGGACTTCTGGGGTACCTCAGCCAATCAGAGGCATGGGGGGACCCTGCTGTGCTCAGCTTACAAAAATGGAGGCTGGCCCCAGGATTTGTCTGAAAAATTGGCCGGCTTCCCCGTTGAGTTCAGTAGATCCCTACATAATACCTCTAACCAATGAGCTTATGTTCTCATCGTAGGCGACATTAGAACCAAAGCTTTTATTTTCGTTAGAAAGGAGCCCAAGCCCTGTAGTTGGTGTCTACATCCAAACTTAGCATAAGTGGTATCTACACACCAAAATGAAATGCCCAGCAAATTGTGAATAAGCTAACTTGACTAACTGAAGCAGTGTAGCTGTATTAGCATGGTGGTGTGCCTGGCTTAATAAGCTGTGCAGAAATACTTTTAACATACCCTAATGTGTAAGAATAGCTGAACTAGGTTTGATACTGATGACCAGGGATCCTGGTTTTCTCTGATAAAAAATGATAAATTCTATGATTAAAACCCTCAAATCTGAAGTTAAAATGAAATGCCACTATGTAAATTGGTATCAGTTGAACACAATATTTTATTAATATATTTACAATTGTAAAGCAGTATGGAAGCCTACCAGTGCCTCAATCACTATAATAAAATCAATTCTAAATACCTACAAATTTTTGGCATTTGATTTGGGTTTTTTTTATCATGGAAAATCAGAACTTTCCCTGCCCCCTTCTCTCACCAGGACACAGGTCCAGGCTCTTCAGCCCCAAGCCACAGCCCCCCAGCCCTGCTGGCACCCCTTACCCCCCACCCACAGTTAGAGGTGCACTGATTTATCGGTGGCATATCAGATCAGCACCAGTAAAAGAAAAATTAACATTATTGGCAATTGGCCTTTTTTTGGCTGGTGTAGCTGATAATGTCACTGCTAAATGCAGTATGCATATGTGCAGACGCAACATACATGTGGCCAGGAATGCAGCCTGGCAGCTTGGAGAGCAGCGTCCAGCTGCTAAGTCTGTTGGGGGGAAGGGATGTGGGGGAGGGAAGGGGCAGATCAAGGCCCACATGGTGAGGGAGAGAGTGGGGAAGGGGCAGGGGCAGGCGTTGCCCAGCTGGGGTGGCGAATGTGACCCCACTGGGAGTGGGGCAGAGCCATGGGTGCCTTCTCTGGGGTGCATGAGGGCTTGGGGGAAGTGGCTCACCGGTGCTGTGTGCATCCCCAGGGGAGGAATGTGAGGGGGGAAGTGCCCCTCTCGATTTGTAAGCAGGGCAAGGGCAGGCTTCTTTCTGGTGGGGAGGCTGGGCCAGGGCTGTGATCGAGGCAGATGGCGGTGGCGCTGGGAGGGTTGAATATGGGGTGGGCTATGGCCACCCCAGAACTTGTCATAACCCCCCCAACCCCTCCCTCCCCCTCTCAGCGCTGTCACTGCCTGCCCAAAGTGCAGCCCTGGCCCAGCCCCCCTGTTGCGAAGTGGCCGGCATAGCCCCTAGCCCAAGCCCGCAGATGGCAGTCTGCCCTCACCCCACGCACAAATCGGGGGGGGGGCACATGACCCCCCATGCCTCCCCCGGGGGGGTGTACA